TAGTCTTTTTATTCTCTATAATTAAAGAAACTTCTTCTACGTTAAATAAAATTTACAAGCTTATGTATATAGAGTATTGTCCATCCCGTTATCATAGATTGAAAAATATTCTTTTTGCTTAAGAAGAACTGTCAGCCAAGGGTTCATAGAGAAGAACAAAGAGAAAAATTTCAATAAAAACAAGAACCAAGTGAAACTTACATTATTTTTAATTTTTGATATCGTGCGTCGTAATAATATATAGCAATGTACAAGAAGATCAACAATAAGTATTATTTTATTATCTAAAATAATAATGTGAAGCTTTCAATTGATAACACTGATCACCATCATCTACATAAAAGTAAAAGACAGTGTCGAAGGTAAACGTTGAACGTTGAACAAGAAGGTGCCACTAGCCGTTATTGACACCTTCTGACATAATACTGAATTGGCAGTCCGTTGTCACTTGCCCGATCGGGAAATATTGCTCGAACGAGCAACTTGTCCGGTCAGGCAAGACTCTATCTTGGAAACCATAGGTCCCCTAACGGGTGGAAAGTGCTTATTCTTCTTCTCGCACATTGTATATTTATTGTGCATCAAAATTATATGTTCCACCTTTTCCCTTTCTCATGGAAGAAATGAAAAACAAATTTAGCTCAATATCGTTCATTTTATCTTTCCCGATCTGGCAATATTGCTAGTTCGGGCAAGGTCAGTATTGCCGGTTTCGGCAATATATCTTGCCAGATATATTGATTTACATACATTTATTTGTACTTTACGCACATTTATATGCGTACGAAGCCTTACTAGAAAGTTTTTTTTTATATAAGTACATAAGAAGGTTAAGTGTAGCAAGAATTGCGATTTATGATAAATAAAACTCTGTCAAATAAGTGTGAACGTATCTGATAAATTTCATGAGTACTTCTCTTTGTATTCATCTGCAGTCATTCTCTAACTTTGTACTTTTATAGACAAGACAAAGTTCTTTCTTTTCATTGTTTTCGTTACATGAATAACAATGAGAAAAAACAGAATGTATATACACATGTACATATACAAAACATTATAAGCATGCGTCTCTAAACAATGTCCATGTGCACAAGAGAAGAAGGGAAAATCATAACACACTGACAAATAGTTATATAATAAACGATGAGAACCTCTGTTTCACAATTACTTTTCTAACACTAGTTAAGTTGTATTTCATCTGCATAAATACCGCCGAACAGCCTTCCTCTTCAAGTTCGAAAAGTGAAGTTATTCTTTTGAAAGTATGAATATGGTCCACACATCTCGCAGCAAAAGTCAACATCATTCGGATCCTGTTAATAAAGAATATGTCCACAGACAGACTATCGTTTATACTTTAAAAACAAGATATTGTAGAAAACCGAAATAGCACACGTAGCTCTTTATATAAAGACGTATACGAGAAAAAAGTTTTTTTCGGTTCTTTAATAAAGTCATCCAAGCCAAATTATTTACTTCAATAGCACATATTGATGTCAGGAATGAGGCTTCTTGCCTGATCAGGCAAGGCATATTGCCCGTTTCGGCAATAAATCCTTAGAAGATGCTTCTTCCCTACTCTGAAAAAACAAGCACCTCTCCACTGTATGTAAGCGTCATCTTATGCAGTTTTTGATGCTCTTTCAAATGGAATAAGTCTCTTTATGCGTCATCGCTTTCATTTCTGCGCTGATGCGCTGCGAGAGAAAAATGGGGTAATCTGGGCGAAAGGAGCATGGTACTCCTGGCCTGATCAGACCATATTGCCTCTTCGGGCAATATATCTTGCCAGAACGGGCAATATTGCCTCATCGGGTCAGAAGTCATGACAATGGACTGACTGTAATCTTAAATTAATTTCCATTTTATAGAAAATCGATCGAATTTCCATAAATAACTTCCAAGAGTCTGAAAATTCACGGACGATTTTCTAAAAAACTGGAAAATCAACGAGGAATTTCTATAGGTACTATTTGAAATGCGCTAGCATTTTCCATAAATAATTTCCGACCTTAGTGTAGTTGAAGATAATGCTGTAATAAAATTTTAATAACGACTACATTCACCAGTAACACTAGTTGTTTCGTTATTCTTTAGCGTTTACTTTCTGTAAAAGCTATTTTCAAAAATTTGTGGAAGAGACGTGGTGGATCTGTTGCCGCGGTAATGTCGTTCGCGGTATTGTCGTTCGCGGTAATGTCGCTGTATCGAAACGTACATTGAATATCTTGTTGAGCAAGAACGACAAACAGATGAGTTAAGAAAACGTGTACATGAACAAGAATTACAAGAAGAAATGGAAGCAAAGAAAAAAGTTAAAGAAGATTTAATTGAAACATTGATGCAGTCGAATGCGAATGTTCATCGTGTTATAGAAAGTCATAAAACACGAATTCAGGGTTTGGAAGCTAAACGAGAACAACTTCGATACAATTAAATTTACCGAAAAATGATGAAGTTCAGCCATTGTATGAATATGTAAAGCCACTTGATGATCCTCACGGGCCAACATTACCAGATAGTTCAGATTTTGATCGACTAGGTTATTTGAATAATGTACGTCGAGAAAAACCATCTGAACAAGCTGGTGGCTATACGTCCATAGTACTTATAAGAAAATTCGTTAGACGTCCGGAACTTAGACAGAATAATAAAACCACCATCATTGAGTGCACTCGGCTGAAGGAAGATTATCGCCGATTGATTGAACATGAAGGACTATTAAACTGATGACACTAATCAACAATTGGAATATGTCAATATTTGTAAGTCCAGTACTTTATATTCTACTTTCTTACTATAATCTACTGCTTCATACGTGAATAAAATAATTTTCTTCCAATTTATTTTGCTTTTCTATAATAAAACCTTAGTCTCAAATGGGTAGTCTAAAGACGCGCCCTCATTGTCTACTGCTTGTAGACTGTATATACTTTTCGAAATTTATGAAGACTATAAAAAGAGAATAAAGTTGGAAAAATACAATTATGAGACGAGAATGCAGAACACGACATCTCATTCAATCGCATAGACTCCTTTTCAAATCGATTTCTAGCAAAACGCATCACTTCACTGTAATAAGTGTAAGGTAAATTAACATTATCTTCGGTTATTTTTTCATTATAATCTAAGGTAATACTAATTTGTCTTTTTGTAGTTTTATTCTTTGTATTAATGTTAATCTGCTCCATCGACTCTTTTACTGTAAAAGTCAGTCTGAAAGAACACCTTGCTTTAATGTTAATTCAAACTAAATTCTTTATAATTTTCGTTTAGTGTGAACTCACATTAAAATATAGATATTCGCCTATGCTGACATTGCAGATTGGTTTCTATTTACATTAGAGCGAAAATATGACCTCCCAGACACGTGTGAATTTACCTTTTAAGGAAAGTATAGATGAACGATACAATGAGTTTACATTATACTGGATTATCTTTTCCTCTCTGATTTCGGTATTTTTCTCATATATAGTAATGTTAATGTGCTCGATCGCCATTTACTTTTTAAAAGTCAGTATGGATAAAGAGAAAGAGTACAGAAAGACACAGATAAATTCACATTCGAATTTGCTTTTTTTTAAAATTAATATTAGAGATTCATGTAAGTTACCTATATATGCGTAGAGAAGAAAGAAAAATCCAAAAATGACATCAAGCAAGAAAGTAACAAGAGAAGAAATTTTATGATTTCAGCAGATGTTCGCTGTATTTTACTCTAGGTTCTGTCAACTTTACAGACTAAAATGAAATTAACTAGAACGTCCTTTTCTCTGATTTTTATGTTAGTTTGAACTACTCAAGTTGTACTCTGTGTCGAGCTATATTCTAAAAAAAGATACATTTTACTTTCTGAGATAAAGGGCCGTCAATATCACAGCTAAGCATAAGGAAAATATGTACTTTCTATTGCCATCGTAAATAGGTATATGAGGATTTATATGTGTAAGATTGTTCGAGTATAAATCGTGTACAATCCGATAGAGCACAAGTATACAAGATTGTTGATAAGTTCTTAATTAGTTTCGTATAAGCTTGTCAAAATGTATCAATTAGGCTGAAGAATAGGGAAGCGTTTCAAAATATATTCCAATCGGTCGGTCGCTACTTCCCTATCCCATTCATTAAGTTGGTATAGATAGGATATAACGTAATATAGAACTGTTTTAACTGCCTTGTTTTGTAATTGCATAAACATATAATGTGTAAAGTCATTTTTTCTTTACAAATGAAGTGATAGATAGAAAAGCAGTCTTTCTAGATTTTAGAATGCATCAATATCTTCAACTAAATTGGTGGTTAACGTTTAAAAAATCATACTTTCTCTTATATTCAGCAGCAAAAAAAACTCTTTTTGACTACTATGACTTTCCGGTTTTCTCTTCGAGTCATGATAATCAGAGATAATGTGTGTTGAAACTTTATCTATTCAGTAAATAAAGACATTAATTTTATGGAGAACATGAAATAAAGTAGAAATGAAACATGTAAAATAAAAATCTTATCTTATCTATCTTATCTCAAAATAAGATTAAATCGAAATTTAGTGCTTGTTTTCTAACTCGGAAAGTTGACAACATTCGTAAATCATGTAATTATTTTAACGCAAAAATATCATTTAGTATTATCAGTAACTTTCTTTATGACGCTAATAAAATTTAATCGAAATAACCTTAAATTTCTCTTCCAGACTCGATAAAATACTGGAATAAAGTCGTATTTACGCTCCACCTCTAAGGCAGTAAAGCTTAATTATAATATATTCTATATACCAAGATATCCATCCAGATTTTATGAAGTATTTTATCGAGCCTTGAAGAGAAATCCAAGGTTATCTCGATTAAATTTTAATAGAGTCATAAAGAAAGATACTGTTAATACTAACAGAAAAGTTTTGTAAAAATGTCAATGTTAAGCAAAGTACATTATTGGATAGCCCAAGATGTCTGCTGTCATAATCTTCATCCAAAGTTGCTGCAGGTTTTTCAGGAAGTCTCTAGGAAGCGCTGAAAAACTGACGTTTCCACTAACTGTGTGTTATCAATACAAATTCGAGAGAAAAAGTGGTAGAGCTTCTTTTCTTAAACTAAATATAAGAGAAGGAAAAATACTATTTTCATTGAATATCTGTCGATTCCATCCACAAGGAAGAGAGTGACAGCTTAATACCAAAATAATTTTTGTTTCTTGTCTTACATTCTCTCTGATTATTTTTAACTTCCTCATATTAAATTTACTTGATAATTACTGGTTAGTACTATACAAAGAGGACAAGACAAGTATGGTCAGTAAATCGCTACACGTAATCTAACTATCACGAGCCAAAGAGAAAGTCGGAAAGTCATGGTGATCAAAAAGAGTTTATCTAACTCCCGAGTGTAAAAGAAGAAAGTATGAGTTTTGAAACGTTAATCACCAATATTGAAGCCACATATCTTAAAAACTAAAAGGGATCTTTTTCTGGAAAATACATCAGTATATAGTACAACTTGTGTACTTCAAACTAGTATAAATGTGGAAATAGGTCCTCTCTAGTTAACTTAATCTTAGTTCGAGAAGTTGGCAGAATATAGAATAAATTCACCGCTTCTTTTGAACATAGAAGAAATGAACATCTCGACAAAGCGATACAGTTTTTTCCCTTCCTTATTTTGCTCTCTAAGAAAAGTAACATAAAATACACATATGCACGAGCAATTCAGAAGAATATATGAAGTGGAAGGAAAATAAGATCAAAGAAAAGTAAACGAAGTGTATTTTCTGGCTACAAACATTAAAAATTGCAATTTTGTTGGTCTTTTTATTGGAAAGTTAAAATAGCTTGTCATCAGAACGAACATTTATTGTGTCAGTTGGGATTAGAGGTGTTCATTTAGTTTTATTTTAAAAAATAAATATAAATGATTCAAATTATTTTTATAAAATAAAGATAAATGAATCATTTATATTTATCTGTTAGTATAAATGAACAATAAAACTAAATTACCACTCCGCATTGGGATAAAAAGTAGAAATGGATATTATCTAACTAATTTATTTTACTTCGTGAAACTGACAGAGTATCGGCTAAACTCATATTGTTTACTATCTTTTGGAAAGCTAAAGATGGATGAGTTTCCAGGACTACATAAACAGTTTTCTTTTCTTGCTTTGTCCCATAGTCTATTGACGTCTGCATAAAAGGAAAATGCAAAATGATAATATCAAAAGAAAGGAAAACGTAAGCGGTACCTTTGATCTATATAGTTGAACTATATTTTCTCATTTCTTGCTTGTACTATGTAGAATGGCCATTTAGGGTGATTTTTCCTGTGCAACTAAGCAACAAAAGAGGACTATACTTACTCAAAGTTCACTCAAAAAACTAAGCGAAGCCTAGTTATATTGTCTGAAAGTTTCATCTTTACACATATAATGGTTTCAAAGATAATTACTTTTATAGTCGGCGCTAAGTGAGTAGCGGTTATTCTCATTGAACTGGAGCAATTTTTTCGAAGAGAAGGCAGTGTCTGGCATGATTCTTGATGATTTAAAGCTTTTTTAGAGTATATAACTAGGCCTCGCTTAGTTTTTTCTATCGAATGAGCTATAATACATTCTTTCAAATTGCAAATTTGCTGGACTTATTCGTAAAAAGATGAACGAGACATTTTTCGTGTTTTCTGATTAATTTCGCTAATTTTGATGATATGGGACCTTTTTAATTTTTAATTCTCTATTTTCGGCACCAGAACTCACTTTAAATGCAATACAAATATCACATTCGGCGTCACCGTCAAAAACTGAGTCGAATTGTATATGTTTCGAAAATTTTTGTTGATTTTCATTTTTTGGTGAAAATCTCAGTAATTTTCAGAAAACGACAAAAGTAATAAGATCGGATAAAAAAGTACATCATTCGATTCAGTTTTTGATGGTGGTGCTTGTGATGCAGGGCTTGGTGGACTCACCGTCACGTCCCCGCCACTAACGACAGCATACGTGATAATTCTCCCGGATAATGTAATAGACGAAAATCTTCAAACCAGATATACTCGAATTCCTCTGCCAATCCACTCCACATAAATTGATTCACCGAACTCGGACGCCATACCTTTTCACCCTTCATGAAAAAATCAACAAGCTGTCTTTCCAATACCTGGTTCACCCCACAAATAAATTATTACCGTGCATAATCAAAAATGGGTCCACATGGTCCACACTCCACCTCGTACAATAATAACTTGATCATACAACTGCGCCCCAAAACTTAATTTATCTAATCTAAATCTGACTATTTCTAAGTTTTTAGATAAATGCCTTCCGTCTCTGTTCGATCAGATGGCGGAGCATTCATCTATCAAAGGAGGCATTTACCTTTTAAATAAGCTCCAAAAGTGGGCCCCATGGAGACCAATAAAAACTAACGATCATCGTATAGAAAATCTTTATTCTACG